GCTGATTCTCTGTCGGTCTTACTGTAATACATTTACATATAAGTAAATTAAATTTAGAATTGCAATTGAAGTCATTGAAACCCGGTATTCGCAGGTGTCACAGAACGCTGTGACGCGGACTGAACGGAAAGGTAGACGGAACACTCTCTGTTGTTGTTGTTAAAGGTACGCGGGGGTAGAACAAACGACGGTTTCGCTGATCGGTCCCGGTGAACAGGTTAATCGAACGAAGCGAATGCGGGAACGCGCGTAAAACACGATGCTATCGGCCGTGCCGAGCGTACACGGGGGGCTCGGCCTGTGAAACGGGCCGGAAATGAGTCAGGTGACCGATAGTCAGGTGGAAAAGGGATTCGTTAATGTATTCCGGCCGTTGGTCAGGTGTGGACATTCTGTTGTTCGGGCCGCCGTCGGTGAATCTCGTGTGCAGTTACCGTTTCGGAAATGCGCGCCGGGTTCTAGGTGCTCGCGTACGAGAGAAACGGCGCAGAAATTCAAGAACGAAGGTCGAAACCGGGGCTCTCTCTCTTTCTCTCTTTGGACGACAACATTCGTGAAATATTACTCCGAGTTCCCCCGCCCCCTTCGCTGTTCAACCCGCGCGAAACCCGATAACGAAAAAGAGAAAGAGAAAACGGGGCAGCGAATTAACGAGAAAGCATCGATCGGATATCGAAGCGACATCGAACCGCGGGGCGTCGCGACGATGAAAGTCGCGCCGATTTCTCGGACACCGTGTAGACCGGCGGCGTTCGTACACCTGTCGCCCAATTACACCCGCGTACAATGCTAGAACTTTGTTAACGCGCCTGTCCACGTACCGGGTGCTCGGCAAGTATCTGTCGTGTCGGCGACGAATTTCGGCGGGCTCGTCCGGACGACTGGTCGCCGATTCCTCGAGGATGACTGCGTTCGAAAAGAAAAAGACAGAAGCACGTCGCGGCGGTAACGGTATCGTTCCAGGATGAAATGGAGCAATAGACAGTCACTGCTCGTTATTACGGTTTTCCGAGATTTCCGTTACGCCTCGCGATATCGGACTTCGTTCCGACGCGACGCGCGACGAGACGACAAAACCGATCGCGATCCTCCTCGTTTCGTTTACACGTTTTTGCCGCGTCGACGCTCTCCTTTCGAGCAAAAGTGGCGATTAAATCAATCCGAGCGTACCGGCGGGCTCGCTGAATATAAAGCGATTTAGTAGATTTAGATTCTGCCGTTCCGAGTGTCCCTTTACAGAGCAGAGAACGTCCGTCGTCGATCGACTGGACGATTAGGGAACAAAACCGATCGCGATCTTCCTCGTTTCGTTCACGGATTTCCTGTGCATCGGCGTGCTCCATTCGAATCGATTTTAAACCCTTCGGACGGTGGACTGTTTCGGGCATTTATGGCAGTCGCGGCTATTTTCATTCGTACGTTAACCCTTAGGGGGCCAAAACTATTTCCAGTTTACTCACTGCCAAGTCCAGACTGTTTTTTCAGACGAAGAGAAATTTTTTACTGAAAATTTTTGTATCAAATATAGAGAAGAGATATTCATTTTTTGAATAAAACTTCGTTGATATATTTTCATCGAAACAATCGTGCCTATTCTTCCAATGTTTCCTGCCAGATTTCACGGTTTTATTGATTTCTGCCGCGTGTATGGCGCCATTGGACCGTTAAGGGTTAATAGTTAATAAATTACACACGACTTCCACAAAATTAGAATTTAGATGGAACGTGTTTGCGACTCTGGGTCCCGATGGGGGCCCGGCACGTAGTTTTTCGAACGAGACGAACGCGCAGACACAGGCGTTCGTTTTGTTTCGCGTCGTTCGAACAACGGAGGCCCGTCGAACGAAGAGGCGATTAAATAAATTAGCGGGGGACAGCACAATAACGTATTTCAGCCGGAGTTTGATGAACGATAGAAACTATACACGGGAAGCGGAGAACAAGAGCGATTCCCTTTTCGTTTCGGGCTCACGGGAGGGTAACAGCGATACCGGAAGCGGCGGTGGATGGGTGTCTGACCGGAAACAGTTACACTGGTGTCACGATCGAGCCGCAACGACGCTTGTCTCCCGTTTGCCGGCGGTTTAAAACTGTGCCAGGCTACGACGCCGTGCTTCCTCGGCTCTCTCGTTCGAATCGTCGGTTCGCAGAAAGCGACGAGCGCCGTAATTAATTAATACGAGCGCGAACGAACGACCACGATTTCCCGATGACCGAATCGCTGCAACGAAATGAGATAATTCACCGGCGTTCCCCTGCCGCGGGTTCTCACGGTGTCGCGATACCTTACCTCACGTCGCCGATGTAAAACGCGGAAGAAGGAACTTTCCGGGGATCGAAGAAAACCAGACCGCATTCTCTAGGCGCAACAACGATGCCCCGTTTCCATCCGAAGCGTCGGCCAGAGCATTGTTCGCTCTTATCTCCGGCAAACGCCTCGGCAGATAACGAGACTTTAGTGGCCCCGATAGGAAACAGTCGGCGTGTCGAGACAGACAGGTGATAAACAAGTGTTCGCGGATGCGTCGAAGAACAGTAGCGAACTGCAATTACGTGTACAACTCGCGGGACGACACCTCGGGAAACGTAGATAATCGTCGAAGACTTCTGGAAACAAGCCTTCGAACAACTTTTCAAACGCTATAACTTGTTCAACTACAAGAAATAGGTGAAAACAGCGAAAACGTCGGAAGAATGCACATCGGCGAACTATATTGAGTTTGTTGAAATTCTTAAGAAAAAAGACCATGTTTTTACGATTAAGACATGCATTAATCACTTTGAATCATAAAATTGTAACTTCTATGAAGTACATCCTTCGCGAATAACGCTTCGAATCGAATTTCTCTGGACGTGATCACGAGATGGCATTTATCGAAATTTCTCACGATTTTTATAATAGCGTGTGCCCGAACGAAGAAATATGTTCAACAATTTCCGACTATGAAATGCAGAAAATATGAAACCGGTCGTTCGACCGGCGATGGAAGGTTCAACGTTGAATATAATAAACGAAGGTGTTAAGTTTACCTGGACGGTGGCTGCAGCAACGGCAATTGACATGACGCGCGTCCACCGGCGCGGCGCGGCTCGGCGCCTCGGCCACAGGTGCAATCTCGGGTGATCTCGATGCAGAATGCAGCTGCGGCACGCGTCCTCTGCTACGTGTCCCCGGTATCCGGAAACATGCTCGTGGATCGCGCGACCGCGGGCCTGGACGATCGTTCCGCGCTCGATCGACCGCGAAACCGTTCTGAGGATGGACCCGATCTAGGATCGGCTCGCGATCGACAGGCTTCGCCAGCCTGCGCGCTGTCGCGAGTACGCGCGACTGAAAATCTGGGACAGGCCGCGCGGCTCGGTTCGACCCGCGTCCGCTGATAATAATACGAGCCGCGGAACTGACACCGTAAGCCTGCTGCCACGACGCACGCGTGCGTACTGATCGCATCCCGATCCGACGCTCTATCATATCGATCATCGAGCCGCTCGTCCCGCGGCACACCGGAATCGGAATCGGAATCGGAATCGGAACGGCTTCGATCGACAAACGGCCGCGCCGCGCCGCGCCGCGCCGGCCGATAATCGTCGATCCGATCCAGCTTTTTACCATCCCGATCAATAAAGCCTGTTCACCTTATCGCTGGCGACATGTATGAATCAACCAGTTGATAATGATTCCATACATGCCACGAAAGTGCTGATCGCAGCATTTAGAACGGATTAGTCGTCGGTTCTGCGAATTCCGCGAGACAAAGAGGTTCGAGTGAGTGTCAATAAACTGCTGATGCTTGACGAAAGAAAGCGTTCCTTGCTAAATGTTTGCGAATCGTTTCTGTATTTATTTATTTATTTGTTTAAGGGGAAACCAATTTACAGAGAATGAAGTATAAATCGTATCGAATCGAGTTATGCAGACATAGTGGCTTAACAGAATACTATAGAATAGCGATCGATGGGTGTATGAATTATTTCGATTAATAATCAAGCGATCGACGCCTGCGCGAAAGCCGTAAAAACTACTGAGATGCGCGACGTTAAATAAATCGCGATGTCTTAAACGAGAAATAGGATTATGCATGCAGCCTTCTTCCCGATCTGTCCCCTAAGCGCCAGTTGCCTCGGAAACTGTTATTACGGCGTGTGCCGATTTCCACCGGTCTCTCGATCGAGCCTTGCAATTATCTAACGATTCCTATTTCGATCTGGGAAGAGATTACGACAGTCGGCGGTTTGCTTGATTGTGCGTGCGACGTCGGAACGACGACGTTGCACCGACCTCGGGCCGAAAATCTGCCTCGTCGCCGAGAGATTTAGCCGTCGTCACGGTTATGCAACGAGGATGCAACGCGATCGACGCCTCGAACGATGAAAATTTTAAGACGAAATCGTCGCGTGCACGGCTCCCGGCGTGCTCCGAGCCGATTCTCGAGCGATAAAGGAGCCGAGACAAAGCCGAGGGAAAAAATCATCGTGAAACAATCATTCGCCTCATATTTATGCGTCCGTCTGGCTGCCGGGCGAAACGAGACGCGCTTCCTAGGATTTGTTATAATTGATGTTCTATTGCTTACGTAACCCTGGACAGAATAAAATCCGATGATGCCGCGGCGCGGCGTCGTTCGCTGGCTGGCTTGTTGCGCAACCGAGATAACGTTTGATCGCGGCGGACGTTTCGCGGATAAAAATCGAGGGGTATAAATTAAAGTAATTGGGGAATCGACGGAAGCGACGCGGCGATCGATAAGCGACTATGGGAGAGACTCATGGGAGATCGATCGATCCGCAGATGTAATTACCGGAGTTCCAGTCGGACGAAATTTGGAATAACGAACCTTGTGTTTCGAATTAATCGTTTCATTTAATTCGTTTCGTTCAGATGGACGGGTGAACACCCATTTTTTACAATAGAGAGAACAAAAGTATATTGTATTGCATTATCAATAAGAATAATAAGAGTAATAATATATTTATTTACGGGCTAGAGAAAGAGAGAGGGAGAGAGACAGCTGGATCATCTCCCGTTCAGCTGATATCTCTTTTAATCGAGTTATTAGCTGTTCGATTCTGGATTCCGCGAAGGGACGGACAGTGCTCGAATTCCTGAGAGCGTAACGAAACATTTAATCGGCCGGCATGGCAGTGCGGCAGAAACGTGAGAAAGACTTTCGTGCGTCGCTTTTGTACCGCGACAGGAAAGATGCCTCGGAAGTCGACTCGTTATGAAATTACGAAAGCTTATGGCGGCCCGAGCATCGCCGAGCGTGTGAAGATTCGGCACGCGGAGGAGGCAGCCCGTCGTCGTGACGAAAGTGTCCATTAAAACGAATGGTCTCTTTCGGGCTGGCTTTTCGCGAAGCGCGCGCGGAAGATGCATAAGCGATGAGAAGACCGCGAAATCCATTCTTCGAGGCGGTATCGCTCGCGCGCGCAGCAACCGCGGCGCTTTTGCACTCGCGTAACACTCGAAACGGGGACATTAGGATACACCGTGTGATAAGCAAGACTCGAAGCCTGTATCGGGCTCGCGTCGAATTCTATGGAGAGGGGGGAGACTTTCTAACGCGACCATAATATTCCTAATAACGGGTTTCTTAACAAGAAGAGGAGTTTTTCCTCTCCATCAACGTCGCGCACGGTTTTCTTCGCCGGCATCGGGAGGACGCCGCCGCACGCAGTCCCGCTTCTTCCCACGAATGTTACACGGATTTTGTAATCGTACCGATATGTAATCAACGATAATTTAATTCAGAACACCTTAGCTTAGCTTATCTGTCTTCTGCCGCGTCTTTCTCATCCGCGTCTCCCGGCGGCGTCACACGCGCGCCGAACGATTTCGTCTCGCGGCGTCGAGTACGCGCGAGAACTTTGTCAAACTCCGGAGAATGAATGGGAGAATATCTCGTCCGTCGGAAAATCTCCGGCGCGTTGTTATCTAATTCGTGGCAGATATTCCCGGAACGAGCCAGTCCCGGTTAGAATTTTCACGGCGATCCGGAAAACCGTCTCGGCTCGGCGATTATCGCCGACTAATTGGCACTCGACGCGCCTCGAAAATTGACGGTCTGCCGGAAGACACGGGACGTCGCCGGCCCGCATGCAAATGAACCGACCGATCCCGCGACAGATTCCTGTTTCACGGGCGAGTCGATCCTGCCGCCAGGACTCCCGCGATTTATTAAAATCCACCGGGGTCCGTTTAATTGTTTAAGAACAACAAGAACGTTCGCCTGGTCAAGATAGACTCGAGGCAATTAAGCTGGCGGATCTTCTTGAAAATCTTGACGGATAAGCCGTAATGAACGGCTAGGTATGTTAATTCCCGGCAGGAACCTTGGATATTCATTACAGGATGACGCTGACTGATTTCGGGGCTCGTGACGAGCGTTTTCCGCTCGGAGAACAGAGTCCCGCGAAAAAAAAGGAAAGAAATAGAAGAAGAGGTCTCGAGCGCGATATCAGATCGTCGCGATCCGTGAATCTCGAGCATCGTCCTCGGGAAAGACACGCGCGTGCGTAATCGATCGACGTAATCGTGAAAGGTATCGAGTTTTTTGGCGATTGAACAAGAGGTTCGCGCGGGCCCGACGACGACCGGAAACACTTTCGAAACGGGAGAGCGGGATTCTCCCTTTGGTCCTTGCTGCGCGATCGTTTTCACGGTTGCAGAAGCACAGCCGTTGCGCAAACCTTCGGCCAACGTCCACTTGGCGGTGAAAAAATAACGAGATTAGTAGGTCAGAACTGTCGGGCCCGCTTCCTGTTATCATCGTGTGTCCGGCTGCAGGACTTTCGAGGACGACGTTGAGACTTCGCGGAGGAAAGAGAGCGCTGCAACCTTGTGCCTGCGATTTCAACAATTCTGGATCCTTTGGGCACGACGCTTCGTGCGCGGAAAGCCTCCGTACACCGAGTCGATCGTGTCCAAGGCTGATCAATAAATAAATACAGCAGATTCCGATTTTTTGGGACCAGCACCCTTCGACGAGATTAACCCCTAACTGCGAACACTTGATGTCTACAATGCATGTTATATTTAATTTCTCTGTAAAACTGATCGCCGTATTCACTTTAGAAGGATTATATTTCAGTGAGTCACAAATTCGAATGCTGCGGTTAAGGGTTAAAATGCTGTCCCAAGTTAGCGAAGAGAACCAAGATTATTCGATCAGATTCTATCTTCCATCGGGTTGATTTTTTGCAAAAATTTCATAAAATTGAAGTCTCTTATTTAATCATACCGAAATTGTCTTCCTAATACAATTAGGAAGATACAATAGAGATCGACGTGAAATTTAATTTTCTATCCTGAGCAAATAATTCCGCCACCCGCGTACGGTGCCGATGCCGACGAAAAAAAAAATGACTACCTTGTACGTGCAAATTTAATTGTTAATCCGCCGGCGAAACGATTCGAGCAGGTGAATTTAGGGCCAAGGACCAAATCCGGAGACCGAGGGTTGGCAGCGAAAGCTGGCCCGGATGGTTTCCGGCGGCTCGGTGTAGAAAACGTCGCAACCCTGGTTCAAGTACGATCGTTACGACTGTTTTCACGGGTGTAAGAGCACGAAGGGAATTGCGTAAGAGAAGAATCTGCGGCATCGCAGAAGTGGATCCCTCCCCTACCTCCCTGGGATCTTCTCTTTCTCCGTTCGTCCGGTGTGGGAGCCCCGGCAAAGAGGGGCTCTCAAGAACCCCCCCTAGGTGTTGCTCGATCTCTAAAGCCATATATATACCACCACTTCGTGGTAGCATCCTTCGAGAAAGAAACATTGCCGGTAACACCGTGGAGACCGAAACTTTGTGCAGGCGGAGGTCCATCGAGCCAGGACCGGTCAGTGCGTACGCGTCGTGACCCGCGATCTAACCACAACGACTCGAACGGAGATAAATGTACACCACGCGGAAGGATACTTCGGATTAAGGTGATCGGATTCTCGACGACAAGGTGAGTCCTTTCTGGCCACCCCTAGCGGCATCCTCGATTCGTGGAGAACATCTTCGGGATAGCTGTTCCGTACGATTTTCGATTTCTCGAATAGCCAAGAATCTTTTCTCGACGAGTTTGCTTCGGAAACGGGATTCTCTCTATTTGCTCGTATTCTTTTTTTTCTTTCTTTTAGATGATTTCGCGGTACCAAATTCTGTGCGCGATCCTGGCATACGGCGCGGTCTTGCTCTACCAGGCGATGGCGGTAAGTAGAATTCGGCGGGGAAAGAGGGAAGTCCGATCGAAAATTAAGAAAAAGTCGAGCGGTTGCGCAACAGCCTAACGGCCAACCAGCCGAGGTATCGTTTCGCGAGCACAATGCCTTTTACGAAACCTCCGTTGAATCAAAGCACGAAAATATTATTATACGCGGCGTTTTCTCACGTGCAACAATGACAGAGGTAGGGGACGGTATCAGTCCGCGTCATCTTCTCCAGATGGCGGCGTGAAGTAATTCATTAATTAACCCCTGTTGCGTGAACAACGTGCTTTCTCGCGCGCGAGCAGCCGCTCCGTTAGACAAACTCGTTCGTCGGAACAACGACTTCTCGGCCAGCACGGAATTCCCTCGTTCTTCCGGCCCGCGGTCGGCGTTTTCCCGCAGCAGGATCGGCGAACAAGAAAAAAAAGGATCTCCGCGTCCCGGAATTGCGAAACCGCGGCTAATTCGTCTCGGCGTTGTACGCGTTGCCAATAACGCCATTGTCCGCGATCCCATCGTGTTCATTTTCATTTTCACCGGAAACGGTGACCGTGAACCAACGCGCCAACGCCGAACGGAACACGGAGCCGAATTTTCAATGCCGCCGCTTCCTAGCCGGCGGCCAGAAATATCAAAATGATTAATTAATCCGCCGATCCTAATCTCGGTAAACATTCACGGTAGGCGACTCTGGAAATTCTCCTCTAAGCCTGGCCGGAGATCGACGCAATCGTGATCCTCCGACGCGGCGATCCTCCGCTACGTTCAATCGTCCCGATCCATTCTCCGTTACGAAATCTCGTATCTCCAAATTTTTTTGATATTGTAACGAGTTCTGTCGATCACCGGACCCGACGCTGTCAAGGAATAGATCGAGATAAAGTACTAGAGAAGAGTCTGTGCAGCTGACATGGATTCTTTACGCTTGAGAGAAGTCTGGAGGATCTATACGATTTAATTCCCAAAGTGTCCATATTTTTTAAATAGTGCACATTGGTTGCAATGATACATCGCAGTAGCGACAGAAGTTATAAATATGCATTTACACTAAAAATACTGTTGCATTATTTTCATTGTGCTAACATCGTTAAAAGAAGCAATACTTTGTTGTCGAACTTCTGATTTACTTTGCGTGGACATTCACAATCTATAGTAATGTCTCTCTAATTGACGCTCAGATTGTCTACAAAAATAGACAATTTGGGAAGAGGAGATACGATTATTCGAGCCTTGCGGTTTGTTTTGATAGTTACGAATTGTCAACGATTATAAAAACGAGCCGCAAGGCTCGAATAAGCGTATCTCCTCTTCCCAAATTGACCATTTTCGTGGACAATCTGAGCGTCAGTAAGGGAGACATTACTGTATAAAGAACAGTCCGGACGAGTGATGTAGATCCCTTATGGTTCAGCAAGTTGGATGAATCCATACAGACGTAGAATTTTGTCAATTAACTTTGGACACAATTTAATTCTCGATCTATGATCTTCCAAGCTTCTCGAGCAGCCTGCTCGAGCAATTTTGTTTCGAGCAGAATTCAAAGTGCCTAATTGTTTTGGGGAAAACGATGGATCTGGGGATGAGGATGTGTCCGCGGCCGGAACCCTGACCTAGCCGAATCGCAGGCACGCCGGTTCTCCTCTCGATCGTTCTCAACCAAGCGTCGAAATCACCGTCGGAAGGGTGGAGGCCGTGTTTGCGGTTGCGCGCGCGCGCGCACACGCCCATCGCGCCGAACGAGAGATCGAATACAAAGGCACGGAGATGCGCATCCGCTTGCCGGGAACAATGTAACCCGACTTCCGGTCAGACACCGGCACGGCACGTGCACGCACTGGACTGGCTCGATCCGGCGTTTCGTGTGTCGCAACGGCCTCCTTTTTTCCTCTCATCTCGGCCGATAGCCAATTGCGAAAAAGATCCCGCGGATAGATCTCTGGCCCCCGATCGAAGCGATCTAGACGTTCGCCGGGCCTCGTGGCTTGGATCATTAACCGCTGCTCCAGGGATCGCCTCCCCTAGGACCCTTTATTCCGCGCGCCGGAAGTGCATCTGTTTATCACTGGCATCGGCGCAGGCTCGACCTCTGCAAGAAAGCTTAGGCCCCTTCAGACCCCATTCAATTTTAAGGCTCAGAAGGACTCGCCGAGAGAAAAGCCACGCTGAATTCACCGTTCGACGTTATTTTCTTCATTTTATTAGCCTTCTTTGAAAGGGCCGTACTATTTACACGACCCACAAGATCGTGCGGATTTAATTTCGAGTTCAATTTGCCGCATAATAATTGCCTGACAGTTATGCCTAGACTGCGGATCTTCGTGTCGTTATGTCAAAAATATCTACACGTTTCTGCTATAATGCGTAAAATCCGCAATCTAGTTGTGTCTTGTAAATCATTCGGTTTTCAGCGAGTGATTAATTTTCTGAAGACCACCACGGAATATCGAGATAACTCGGCAAACTATAGTTTTCAAAAAATTAATCTCTTTATTAGCAATTTAATCGCGCAGCAAAACATGTCTGAGATATTCACGCGAACTAATAAAGTCTGATCTATCCGCTGCTCGTCGCGTTCGCTACCGGCAACAAACCACGCGTGAGAATCGTGGCAGCGAAGGTGTTAATTGGCAGAGACGGTTTGTCGAACACAATGTCGAAAGAATTAGTCGAAACAGCGTTCTCTGTTCGACGAAGTAAAATCGTGGACGACCGGACGCCGGAGAAAAGCCGGAGCCCGGTCGATTAATGCAAACGAATGCGATTTAACGGACACCCGATGCACGGAATGCACAATGCGCGAGACGCGTTAACGTCGAGAGGAAGTGCATGAATCGCGGCGTGCATCCTCGCTCGGTCCACATTCCATTGTGAACGACGATACGTGACGAAAGTCCCTCGGCGTTTCGACAGAGGCTCGCGGTGCAAACGGTGCTCCCGTTAATTGCATCTTGCGCGGAGATCGCCTTTGTTCCGACGGAAACCGAGATGCAACACCGGTCTCGCGCAACGCGGTGCTCGTTTGAATTTCAAACAGCGAAACGCGAACGCTCTCCTCGGCCAAATAATTAATGTTAATTAAGATCGTAATCAGTTACGAGTGCCTTACGAATCGATGTTGACGCACGTTGCAGCAAGTAGACGGCTACACACCTGGCGTGGACTACCCGATCTACGATACCGTACCTTTCGGCCTCACGTTTACCTGCGGAGGCAAGCTACCTGGATACTACGCCGATCCTGAAGCCAGATGTCAGGTAAATCGGTGTCTTACCTTCGAATTTTTTTCTGGAGAACCCGCGAACACTTTGCAACGGAACCTTTCGTGGTCGAAAGGGTATAGTTTCAAGCGGTTCTTGAAAAGTAGTTGATATTTTTTAGTGAAAAAATTATGACAGATGGTCCAAACTATGATCTTTCCGATGCCAAAGGTCTCGTTGGAAGATATTCGCGGGTTCGTTGGAAAAAAATTACGCAAGTCGCTTAACCGCGGTGGAGCAAATCGACGATTGATCGAATCTGAACTTTCGAAGATGCGTAATCGCGATGTCTTTTCAGGTTTGGCACTGGTGTCTGCCGAACGGACGAATGTTCAGCTTCCTCTGTCCAAACGGGACCGTTTTCAGCCAGTCGGCTCGCGTCTGTGATTGGTGGTTCAAGGTATGCTATGGTACCCCGCGATCGAAACTCGCCGAAGAACTTTGGTTGAATCCTGTGTTATCGTAGGTCGATTGCAACGACTCGCCGAGGCTGTACGGGATCAACGACGACCTGTACAGGGACGTGAACGGGAACAAGATCTAACGACGACCGTGCTCCTGTGAACGGATTAAAACGCGGGCGAACGATGCGACGATTCTGTACAGTCTCCACTTTCGATAGGGGAAGAAGGACGAAAGGAACGAGAATAATTAACGAACGAACGAAGGAAGACGAGATTCGTCCAGCGAGTTGTGAGTTCCTAGCTTGCCGGCGGAGGAAGCGCGCGCGAGCGAACAAGAAAACAGGCCGCTGCAGTACTCTCGGACGCTAAATTCCACGCGATGGCAACCGACTGTCCCGAAAGCTGTTCGAACTTGTTGATACATACACTTTCAGCCCGACCGCAAACCACACCATGTACTTGTCCGTTTCCCCCATAGAACCGTGAACAAATTCTCTATCGCACACAATTCGCTCCGACAGATCGATCGGCAAGATAGCTCTTATAACAAACCTCGATTATTCAATAAAACGAACAACTGATGCATCAATCGCCTGGCTGCCGAATCGAGTGACACGGAGCCGAACACCGTGACCACCGCGCTTTAATCCGATCCGATCCGATCCTAGCTAATCCGAAGTCCCGGCTTTTTGTACCCGACAAAAGCGAAACCAGCGCAACGATCTCGAAGGGAAAAACGGAGCCCGGTCCCGAGCAAAAGTCGAAATCGCGGCTAACAATTTCTTGGCATGATTGGACAATAGAAAGTGAGTGGCCGTCGCTAGCCGGCCGATTCGTCCGCGGCCTTTTCCCCGTTGAACCGAGACAGGCCCCGACGACGACGACGACGGTGCTACGGTTCTCCGTCGGCGGCACCGCTTTCGGCATGCTTGTCTCGTCGCGTTTTGCTCATTCATCCGCGACACGAAGTTTGAAAGGTGTCCTCGAGCCCGCGCATCCGTAATTACTATCCGCGGCGTGGAATTTCGATCGTCTCTCCGCGGCGTTACGTAAATCGATAGAAATTTTGGCGCGCCCACTTACGAAACGGCTCTTCCGCGTTCGGAAAGACATTTTCGAACGACAAGGCCAAAGTCATCGAGAGCCATGCCGTTATTCCGATGACGTGCCGGGCGACGCGATGCAAATAAGAAAACGACCGGTCGCATCGTTCCTCGCTCTGTCCCCCGTTTCGTCGGATCCGCGCGCGATTAACTGTTAGAACGCACCCAGCCGGCTGCCATTCCCGTCGTCGCCGGGCTATTATTAAGCGCCGAAGCCGTTGCAAATGGTCCGAACGGTTATTAAGATTTGCATGCGCCTCTTCGATTCGCACGCGGCGCTTTGTTATTCCGCGGGCGTGGAAAACAAAGCGGCGGCGACGGGACGCTCCTTCTGCGAAGGACCTCATCGTCGCAAATACCACGGATCCTACGCCCCGGCCGCGAATACTTCGCGGTCTTCTTGCAAAGATCAGCGGGCGTGTCAATAGAAGATGCGCGACTTTTAGGAGAACAAAGGATCCCGTTGTGCCATCGTTTCGTTGGCCTGTGGGGCGATTCGTTCGGACGGCTGCTCGAGAAAATGAAAGCTGTATAGATTATTTGCTCGTACATTTGACACCGCGTGGAGCTGTTTCGTACAGAACCGAACAGCTGGAAGCAAGTCCTTCTAAGGACAAGGGTCCAGTTCCGAAACGTTCCTAGTATCGTCGAGAATGGATAGTCCGTGCTCGGGATGAAATCCCAATGGAACATCCTCCGTGACATTCCTTTCGAGTTATTATAAAAGATACCGTCGTAGATCACGTCTCTGTAAGAGGAATCGAGGGGGTAGCATCGCTAAAAAGGTCCTGTCCGACTGCAGTCTCGCGTGCACGAGAACACGAGAAAATAGAGGACCTGGATGCAGAGCCCCCTGGTCTCCGGGAAGAAAGGCTTCGAAGAAGCAGGCAGCTTACCTGCCGCACTCGTTCTTTTCGCTTCGAAAGTCGCGTGGGATTCGCCGATAGATCGTTTTAAAGCCGACTCGGTAAAGAACGGACCCGTTTAAAATCCCGGAGCGACGAATCAGCGACGCACGCTCTATTCGGCATCAACAACTCAATTCGCATGGCGGCGGTGGCGGCGACCCTGAAGCTAATTTATTGAAAAGCCGTTCGGCTCCCGGCGAGAGTCGATCACTTTTTCAAGCACGACGCCGTTCGATTGCGAAAGGATCGTCGCGCAAGCGTCACGGGAAACCGAACTTCCTATTTCTAAACAACTATGCACGACGACCATCGCCCAGGAGAAGGACGGCGGTCGAAAAAGAAAGAGAAAGAGTGAGAGAGACAGAGGGGGCGAGCAACGAGGCGCCCGCGATTCTTATCAATTAATAGGATCCCCTTTTGCGACGCACGCTCGCGGGTCTCGCCGCTTTTGTCCTCGTCGATGTCCTTTGTCAGCGGACGCGGTGCGTTCCACTTTCACTCGGTTTCTTCGATCGATCTTTCGAAAACTTTCAACGACCCCGAAGAGTCCCGATGGGTTCGGTCGAAAATGGATTCCTCCGGCCGAGGAATCCCCTGAAGGCGGCGCGAGACCTTTCGGTCGCTCCGGATCCACCCTTTGTCTCTCGGCCGCGCTAGATCGTTTCGCGGCGCGGCGCGGGTCGGCGCGGCGAGGGCGGAACCAAAAAATCCTGGTAAAAGTAAGGACAACGACGACGGTGCCGCGGAAAACGGCCTTCTAACGGCTCCGTGCAACCGAGTCAAGTTTGAAAGGCGAAGCGTAGGACGGCGGATTCGATTCGATTCGATTCGAGCGGCGATCGCGAGTCGCGAGTCGATCAGGTGGCGACGCAGGTGCCGCTCGGCTCTGCTCGGCTCTCGCCTTTCCCTTCCCTCGCGACGAGCCGGGCCCGGGGCCCGGTGCCCCGAGAGGGGCCCACGCCAATGCGGGGCCCGCTGCTGCGCCCATGGGCCTCGGAACCCCCTCCTCGACCTTATCCTCGGTCGTAGAAAGCTCGACCAGACGACGCTGGCCGGAGCACAACGCTCCTGCTGCTGGCTTTTCCACTTCCATCGCGCAGTCTTCTTGCCGGACCGGACGCGGTCTTTCGCGGTGGTACCTCACGAAAATCCCGATTCCAAAGACGTTCCGTGTATCGCCCCTGTATTCGCTCCAGTCCCAGCCAATTGACAGTGTTTCTCTCACAGTGCGAGAATATTGTATTTCGAGTGCGCCTCGATGTGAGGACGGTGCTTTCATGAGGGATTAAAAGAAGAACCTATCAACGGAGCCGAGAGACAGGTCTGTGCTTTTCTATCGTAACGCCCCTGCGTTCGCCTAAACCTCGGCGTAATTGTATCGCGAAACGTTCTGCGAACGCGATCGAGACCGATCGTCCGGGCAAACGCGATTTTCCGCGACGAACCGCGGTAAGATCGATCGGCCACCGGCGAGACAAGAGAGTCTCGATCGTCGATCTCGATCGTTGGTCCGATCAGCCTAGGCCTGGTGCGCGAGAACTCGCGCGACGATCGCGGCGAAAGTGGCTGGGCGCCGTTGTTGCTCAGACAGCCCGAATGAAATTCGTATTACCTAAACGCCGGTAATCATAGTGTTTCGCGGACGGAGAAGAAGCTCGGCTCGGCTGGAATCCGCTGGCGGAATGTCAGCGTTTTCTTGCGACAATCCCTCCACCACGTGAGCCAAAGCGCGTACGCGATCGCGAACGCGATCACGATCGCGAGCGGCCGTACCCTACGCCTCGCGGCTAGTGAAACCGCTCGGCTCTCCTCTCCGGCCGATACAGTCGAAAAAAGAGCAGATTGGAAGCGTAACGCAACGCTCTGGTATTTAGACGCGCGAAATTTTCGTAAGAAGAGAAAACAGCGAGACCGCGACCGCTGTTGCCAGCCGTTGAAACGCTTTTCTCCCGGTTTCGCGACGCTGTTTCACTCGGGATCGAGGCGGCCGAGAAGCAGCGTAGGCTCGATCGATTTCGAAGCTGCCGGAGACCGACGGAGAGGAGAAAGAGATCGAGCAGGAGGATAGATCGAGGAGGTCGTGAAAGGACGAACGAGCCGGCAGGACTTTCGCCGGCCGTCGCATCCTCCTCGAGCTTCGGCGACACGTTTTTACACCTCCGGATGACAACGAAAGCGAACTGGTTCTATCCTCGAATTCGCCGGCCACTTTCCACTCGTTCCTTTTCCTCCGCCGCCGACAAGACGGAGACGGAGAGCCAGAAAAAAAAGTAAAGGAGCGCGACTCCTACGCCCGGCGCGGCGTGTGCCCGGCGATATTTAATGCGGTGAAAGGAAAAAAATATCGGCGGTAGGTTTGCACCGCAAGGCACAAGCTCGCTCGCTCGCGTTTTCGCGTTTTCGCGCGATCGCCGGAAGAGAGCCGAGGCTGCGCGGACTTCGACGGATCTCTCCGAATCGCGAACTTCCACGAGGGGAGCCGAATCGCCTAACGAGCGGCGGAGTTTCGTTTTAGGAAACGGTCGTTGCACGTTGCACGTGCCGATGCAGACCGCGCCGGCGCGCACCGCGCGACTCGCGGCCGCACGCAATCGGACGCGAGCGCGCGCGCGCGCACCAGGAAAACCGCCTCGAGTTTTTCCGTGCGAGTGTTCCCGTTGACCTAACAGCTGTACTTTGCAAGTACAAGGAAATGAAATCCTCGAGGCGCATCCTGCGAGATCATCGACGAGATACTCGGGCCAGTCACGACTCGATTCCGTTCTCACGCACTCGATCGCTCGAAACGCGCCATAAACGCGATTTATGCTTCCCGTCGCGCAGTCTATTGTCGGACCACTGTTCCCGCGTTACACGGCTCACGAAAGCAGCGATCAGAAGCGAGAGTAATGGATCCGATAATCGTCCTACGCGTCGGATAGTCTCTGCCAGGATTTTTATCCTGGATCTATAAAGATTAACGCAATGCTCGTAGGACAGACAATCAATCCCCAGCGTTTTCCGTAACCTCGACAGTGCGACCAACCGCTCTCTCTCTCTCTCTCTCTCTCTCTCTCTCTATCTCTTTCTCTATTTCTTTCTCTCTGTTTCTCCCGATCTGTTCCTTTCGTTCTCTCCTTCCTCCTTATCGCATTCTAACGCGTCCACGTTCACTTTCGATCGACGGATTCCGCGACCGATTGTATGTACACGGGGGCTTGAAAGTGAATTTAATTCGCCGGCTGCCCGTTAGACACGCCTAGTCGGCCTAATTACTCGACCAGGGCCACGAAATCGCGCTCGGAAAGAAAGCAATTCGCGACCGGTCTCGGATCGAGCGTGCACCTCGTTGCAACGAGTCGCGGTTTCCTCGGATTTTTCCTTCCGATGGCCTGAATTATATCATTCCTTCCTTTCGCTGTTATATTCACGCTCGAGACGCTTTACTTCAAGAATGTTCGGACAACACCTGGGCTTAATTGCGTCCGTTCTTTGTAATTACTAGAGCGTAGACACACGACTGTAGTATCTAAAATTAAACGGAACGAAATGTTAGCCGGTGTTCTACATTAAAATACTTGCACGATGCGCAGACGTAAAATTTCGCATTGCAGAAGACGGAACGGCTCTTGCACGATTATCTCCAAAGGACGAACGAGATCAACGAAAGGGAGAAGGACGAAGAATCGATCGTGGGGGAAGAAAATCGATCGGCAAAGATAAACGTATGGTCGCTACGAATGATATTGGCCGTAATGCTCGTTCGAGTAACCGTATGGTAGGCAAATCGAAACGGACGTTTCCTGGGCGAGCGGTATCGACACGTCGACGCCGATTTTGTCAAATCCGTTTCGATAAACAATATCGCTCGGCACGGCGCGACGGCGTTACGTTACGACACGAGAGCGCGCTCGTTCGCCTACCCGCTCGCTCGCGAACGCTCGCGAACGCTTGCTCTGCTTTCTCCCGCTCTACGCCGCCGGAAAAATAAACGAGCGACTTCGCCGTAATCGCGACGCCGGAATAGGCTTAATGGACGATCGCGATTCGCTACGAAAACCGAGCGAATTTCTGCCTCTGCCCGATCCCGACCGGATTCCGATCGGGTGAATAAACGGCGACGCGCGCGCGCGCGCGCGCACCCGACAGATAATTGCGCGTAATGGCCGCAGGTCTTTGACGGATGTGTAATTGGATAGTCGTGGCGAAGACGTGTTTCGTCACGCGGTCGACGTCGTTCGAATTCATCCTACGCAGACCTACCGAAAGGTTAGCGAATCGCGTACTCGGTGGACGGAGTCCGAGACCCGGGCAATTTGCTCGAAGACGACCCTTTCATGCGCGCGAGAAATAATTGGCGAAACGATCGATCAACTCGTAGCAGCGGACGCAAAGACGGTTTGCTCGAAGATAGACCCTTCGATTCGCGCGGAAGATCATTGGCAGAAGATTAACTTGTACGAGAAGATATAAAGTAGAAAAAGCGATAGCAAGACGAACCATAAACGATCGGATAATACCGTTGGAAGTATGCAAATCCTGGAAGGAAACGATAGATTACATCCATAACGCTCGAACGCTAAAAATGAACGTTCATAGGATCCCGTTGAGCGAACGATGAAGAAATAACAACTGCAATGAATTCAACCTTACGAAGGATTTAACGCCGTAAATATTTCGTGGATCTGGTCGGCCAAGCACAGGCTGCCAGCCAGTTGATGTAAATTATACCGCGGTTTAGCAACCAGGTGTTGTTATTCCATTTGCATGCGGCGTACACTTCATCTGCAATTTCAGTTCGCGCAGCACCGTTAGGTGCTGGGACAGGTTTTAAAACAACTCGCTGCACCCTGCGCCAGCGCCGCCTGGACCGTGTTTACACGCAATAATTACGGCCTAAAGAAGACACGCTAATAACGTTAGCTCGCGCCGCAGTTTCGCGGTGTTTCCTCTTAAGAGCATGGTGATCGAAGGGTGCCCCATTGTATCGCGGTTGTCGGAGGTCGCGGAGCCACGTCGGTGCTCCTTTTAAAGAGTCCCGATCGAAGAGGAACGCGTAGCCGGGCCTCGTCAGCCACCTCGGCGAGCCGAGAAATTTATCGTCGCTTTGGCCTCTCGTCACGATTCCTCGGACAACGGTGTTTCGAAACGCTTCTTCTCTCATATCACGAGGCCGATCCGCGCGACTATCGGCCCGGCATCCTCCGCGACTCCCGAATGTACGACGATGATGCGACAAGATGCCGAGAAGGTATGCGATCCATCCAGGAAATAAATAGCCGAGCGTGGAATCACGGTGAAAGAGCGGTTTATTCCGAAGCCTTCTCGCCTTGGGATAAAGCGAAATTTGAGCATCGCTTTCGAAACGGAGCACGAAGTGTGTCAGGCTGTTCTACGAGACACGCGTGAATATTGCGCGATTGTCCGCTTTCGATGACACTCGCCTTATTATCGAATTTCGAGGGAACGGTGCACGGGAGATCGAGGTGTTGTTACACCGTGTAATCTGCAAGACGAAACGCCGTTGCGCAATCGCTCGGACGTATCGCAATCATCTTCGAGATAATTGCGCAGAGGACAGGCAAGGAAGAGAGAAAGAGAGAGAGAAAGAGAGAGACAAAGAGAGAGAATTCGGAGGCAGAGAGAATGATCGACGACTCTAGAATTTTCAGCCACAGGCAATAGCGTTCGGCTGTTCGGTAATCGCTCGATGAACCGTGGTCCGATTGTCCGTGTAATTTACGGACGCGGCCATAATTTCTAAAGCGGCAGGAAGCCGCGTGAAAATATCTCTTGTACGACTCAGCATCAGCCTCGTTATGCTCTCTCGGGGGAACGATTGTTGCTACCGCTGCCGCCGTGTCGGGAGAAAGAGGTGAGAGGCGCTGCGACTTCGCGACACATTAATTGCGCTAATTATAGTGGGCAGTCTCCACCTTCCTCTCTTTCTCTCTCAAGGAAGAAATTCGTGGAACAACGATGTCGGTTTCCTGTTCCTCAGGGATTTCCCATCGTGGCTCGCCAGCAGTTTGGCAATCGGATCGGTTTGCAGAGTCTCATCCACTGCGGCCATAATTAAGAAATACTATCGGTAGACCAATTCTTGAATACCGCTCTATAATTTCGTGTCTGTCTTGATTTATTCTCTCAGTAAATAAATAAATAAATAAATAAATAAATGGATAAAAGATCAGGGTTCCGCATCGAGACGAATTATGGTTGCGGTAAAAAAATTAAATAGATGAGTCACTTTACAAAACGGCACCGCGAGTCTGGAATCTCGGGAACGATCGTAAATGTCGCAGTTGCCGTGCACTTTACGAATCAGCGCCCGCCGAGAGC